ATTTTACCACGACATCCAAAGCCTTGCAGCCGCAGCACCGCGTGCTGTGCCTGCCACAGGGAGCATTTCGGTCATTCCTAAGTGTCCCGCCCAGGTATTTCTGCCCAGGCACCACCCGGAGCTCACCTGCCCTTTCAGCCCTGGCCGTGCTTTCCTGCAGGATCATTATTTGCTCGGTTTTACTTGGAATTTCGGACGAGCCCTCCCCGAGCTGAGGACGGAGCTGCTCCGAGTGCGCTCCCCGCAGAGCGATCCTAGAACATCTTGGCTTTATTACGCCCCGATTAGAGCCTGTTGAGCTGCGGGCGGACTCGCTCGCCCAGCCCCGGTTCCCTGCAGTAGCCGGGCACTGCCAGAGCCAGGGAGAAGGCAGCACGGAGCTCCCAGCCGCTGGAATTGCCTCTGAAGTGGCCGGGAAAAACTGTGGCATTTGGGTGGAAATAATTGGTAGGTTAATTCCCGGGGCTCTCCCACCACCCTACAGGGAGGGCAGGTGGTGAGGGGGAGCAGGGGGAGAAGCTGCCGGCTCAGGGAAGGGTTTGGGATGTGCTCTCACAGCCCTGCCCTGTTCCTGCCCAGAGCCCCCAAAAGCAGAGCAGCTGTGCCGGGGAGGCAGAGGCAGGGAAAGGCAGTGCCAGGGGGGCACAGAGCGAGTACAAGACCACCAGGACTCGCTGCCCATCACCTGGGGGTGTGGAGGGGTGGGTGAGACAGGTCACTGGTGAATCCCTGCTGGGTGTCATGTCCCCCACCCCTATGGACTGCGAGACCCAGGTGGAATGGGGTGAACTGAGGACAGTCCCAAAACTGCCACAGTTCCAGAGCTTCTCTGTGATATCTGTTTGGGTTTAACGGGCTGCAGATGTCTGTCTGTCTGTCTGTCTGTCTGTCTGTCTGTCTGTCTGTCTGTCTGTCTATCTGTCTGTCTGAGGCCACAGTGTGTGTGCCCAGAGCGGCTCCCATGAGCCAGGTCTCACCACGTGGCATGGACAGGGACACGGTGCTGGGCACATCCCGCCTTGGACAGTCTTGGCCAGGGGTGTGTCTCTGGGTCTGGGTGACAAGGGACCCTTTTGGGTCCCTCTGCTTGCTCCAGCAATGTGGGCAATGCCACCACAGCAGGCTGGGCTGGCTGAGGGCACACGAGGGGCGGGTGGCAGTGACCTCGTGGGCAGTGGCAGCGCCTTCATCCTCATCCTCCCTAGATTTTCCCAGGTAGAACGTGAGGCAGGATCATGGGGGTGGCTGGCAGGACCCCCACAGCTTTGCTCCCCATTCTCCGTCCCCCTGCAGCTTTCCCAGGCTGGTGAGGAGCAGAGCACATGCCCATTCCCAAACAATGGGCCCGCTTCCGTGCAGGAAGCAAGGTCGGATTTGTTCTCCCTGCTTTGCCCCCTCCGGCCAGTTCTAAAGGGGCCAAGCCATTGTCTGAACCATTTCCATGACTCAGTCCCCAGTATCCTGCGATCCAGGGGACTCTCAGCCAGCACAAAGCTCCGGTGGCAGCGGCACCGTGGGCTCCGGGCAGGGCGGGGGGCTTGGGAAAAGGAAGGCGAGCGCTGGCTGTGCCTTTCCCCTCCGTGCCCCTGGTACTGGAGGCAGTGGGATCTTTGCCCCCACCAGCTTTCCTGGTCCCTCCACCCATTGTCCCGGCTTCCTTCTGCCGAGGGAAGCACAAAGGGTTGCAGTGGGGGCAGTCGTGGTTCCTCGCCGAGGTACGGCCAGGTGGGGAGAGACAGAGCAGGAGCTGAGCAGGTCCCGTGTGACCCCCCAGGGAAGGACAGGGACTGTCTCTGTGCCATCATCTCCATCCTGGCACCTTGTGCCCCTGGTCCTGGGGATGTCCAGCAGGTCCTGAAGATGTCCAGCAGGGCCTGGGGATGCCCTGCACATCCCGGGGATACCCTGCACATCCCAGGGATGCCCTGCACATCCCGGGGATACCCTGCACATCCCGGGGATACCCTGCACATCCCAGGGATGCCCTGCACATCCTGGGGGATGCCCTGCACATCCCGAGGATACCCTGCACATCCCAGGGATGCCCTGCACATCCTGGGAATACCCTGCACATCCTGGGGGATGCCCTGCACATCCTGGGAATGCTCTGCACATCCTGGGGGATGCCCTGCACATCCTGGGAATACCCTGCACATCCTGGGGGATGCCCTGCACATCCTGGGAATGCCCTGCACATCCTGGGGCCGCTCCCTGGGTCCTGGGCTTCCTCGCAGGGAGGTGGAGAGAAGGAGCTGTGGATGGAGTTGGGGTGGCTCAAAGGAGGACATGGAGAGGAGCAGAGCCAGGATAGGGACAGGACTCGTGGATCAGGGGTGGTGACACCTGGGGGTGGACACTTGGGCTGCCACCTCCTGGCACTGGGAGGTGATGCCAGACCCACAGTGCTGGTGGCACGTGGGGGGACCTGCCAGGCAGGGATGGCCACCACGGCCACTGGGGACACTGGGACAGGGAGGAAGGAAAGGAAAGTGAAAGTCCGTGGCTGCTGCTCCGGCCTGGCTGTTGCCATGACGACCCGAACAAAGCTCCTGTTCCCTCTTTTTTGGCTCACTTGGGCAGGTCCTCGGCCCCTTTGTTAATTGTTTCCCTGTCCAGTTTGAGGGTTGCTCCTCCTGCCTCCTCCTGCCCCTGGAGCAGCTCTGGGGCCTTGCCAGGGCAGCAGGAGCCCGGGGGGCACATGGAGGTCTCTTGGCCCCCAATAACCATCTCTCTCTGTGACCTCTCGGGGTGTTGTCCCAAGTCAGGGGTGACAGAGAGGGACTGGTGGCTCTGGGGGCACACGAGGCTGCCTGCACTGCCCGTGCAAGGGGTGGCACTGGGAGAACCAGTCCCCCCAGCTGGGGAGGGGGCTCAGGGGGGTTGTGGAGGAGCTGCCTTTGTGTCCTGCCCTGCTGCATGTTTGGTACTTGCTGTATGACCCCAGGAATGCTGTGTCCTCTCTGGGCCTCGGTCTCTCCATCTGTGAAGTGGGAACGTGTATCACTGAGCTCCTTTAGCTTTTGGGGTCTGGGGGTGCGGCCCACTCGGCATCTTTCATGTTTAATCCTCTGGGTGAAGATTCCAGCTGGGAAACTCCCCCAGATCACTTCTTGCCTGGCTCTGCCCAGCTCTGCTCCTGCCCCTGTGATGGGAACGGGGTGAGGGGAGGCTGTGTTGGGGTGGCTGTGGGGTGGGGGTGCCCAAACGCCCCCAGAACACCCGTGGCAGTGTGTGGTGTGGGGGAGCTGTGAGTCCCGGGAGCTCCGTCTCTTCTCTTCTCTTTGTCCTGGGTGAAAACAATGTTTGGAGAAAAGAAATTCCCAGGGAAGAAAATAACGGTGTGGGGGAGGAAACAGCTCCGAGTCAATGGGAACTTTCCCGGTTGGTGAAACATAAACAGTCCTTCCATGTTGACATAACATTTCAGAGACTTCATTGCAGAAAAAAGACTGTTTGTCAACATTCATCTGCCCAACCCACCCCCTCTCGCTCCAGCTGCACCGGTCGGATCAGACTGAGGCGTTTTTTCCCTTGGGAAGGTGGGTGATGGCATTCCCAGCGGAGCCGCCGGTGGCACGAGGAGCGTGGGGTGCTGGATGTGGGGCACAGGGTGAGCTCCTGAGCAGGCCAGGGCAGCAAAGGCCCTGCCAGGAGGGGGGGGCCAAAGTGGTTTGGTGGCGTTCAGTCCAATTTTAAGGATGATTTAGTGACAGATTCGAGGCGGTGACGTTCACACACCACCCTCAGTTCACACACACGCAGGCGGAACACGTGCACGCCTATTTCTAGGTGTGGAAAGGCACCTCTCCAAAATTCCCTTCATCAAATCCCTGGCTTCCCAACAGGTAAAGGCTGCCCCTCGAGGGGCCTGGGGATGTGGTGGGGGGGTACTGCCAGCACTGGTCCTTTGAGTATCACAGACCTGAGGGTCCGGGAGGCTCCGAGGTGCTGCTGCAGCTGCTGGGCACGGGTGAGCTCCGAGGGCCTCACCCCGCACTGCTGTTCCTGGGGCTGTGACATGATTGATTTGGGGCATCAGGAAGTTTCCATCCTGGCCATAACCCAAGCTGGTGACCACTGGGCTGGGAAGGATTCCCAAAGTGCAGCGACAATGGTACCGTTCCACTCGGGCTCCAGCTCACAATGGTGCTGCTCCGCTCGGGCCGCGATCCAGGGAGAGGGTTTGCCAAGGCCACGGAGGAAAATTGCTCATCCTTTGTTTCCCACCTTGGCTGGGCAGGTGATGTTTCCGATTGTTCCCACCCTCACCACCTCCAGGTATGGTCGGGGAGTTTCATGGCCCAGCTGGGCAGTCAAGGGTGAGGGCTGGGTCAGGGCTCACCGGGAGCTCCTGGAGCAGGGAAAGGGGCTGGGGGGATGAACTGAACAAAAGCTTGGGGTGATGTGGGAAGGAGCTGCTGGAGGCCGGGCTTTGGGGTCTGTCTCTTGGCGTGTTGGGGTTTTGGGACCCCCCCCGGGGCTGTGGACTGTTCTCTTTGCAAGCCAGGCACTGCTCCATCCCTGGCTGGGAGCTGGGGGGGGTGGAGGGGATCGTTCCCTGCTCGGACCGGGGCGCTGGAGGGTCTCACGGTGTCTCACAGGACTCCTCCGAGTCCTGTCTCAGTTTTGCGGGGGTCTCAGCCCCTCCACAGGACTCCAGGGCAGAGCATGGGAGCAGCGCGGGGCTCCCGGCGGTGTCACACGTGGGTTCCCCGGCGGGGCAGGGGGTCCCGAGGGGAGGGGACGGGGCAGAGGGGCCGCCCCGGAGCCGGCTGCTGGCTGGCTGGACCGCTGTCCCTCCTCCTCCCCTTCCCCTCCTCCTCCTCCTCCTTCTCCTCCTCCTCCTGCTCCTCGCTCCCTCTCTCCGCCCGGCGCCGGGGCAGCTCCCACCGGAGGCGCTGGGGACATGGGGCGGACCTGAGCCGGGAGAGGCGGTGGCGGAGCCCCCACCGGCACCGGCACCGGCGGCAGAACCGGCACCGGCGGCAGCACCGGCAGCACGGGCGGCGGCGGGACCGGGCACAGCGCGGCAGCGCCGGCGGAGCCGTGAGTATGGCCGGGGGCACGACCGGGGCACGGCCGGGGGGCACCGACACGGCCCCGGCGTGACGAGCATCCTCCGGGGCCGGCGAGCATTCTCTGGGGTCCTCGACCCCGGCTGGGCTGAGCGGGACTGGGGGGGATCGCCTGGGAGAAGCCCCCCCCCCCCAAAAATAAAACACAACCTTTGCTTGAACAGGAGAAGGAAAAAGGGGAAGCGGGGGCGCAGGGCCCGTCCCCCGCACAGCCCCGTCCCCGCTGCAAAGTTCGGGGGCTGCAAACTCTCCTCCGAGACCCCCGTGGGGGCGAGGGGAGCGCGGCAGGAAAGGGGTTAATCCACGGGCACCCCCCGGGACCCCCGTTCCACCCCTCAGGGAGGTTTCTCGCCCCGTCCCACTGGTGACCGCGGCTCCGGGTGGGACCCGTCCCCTTCTGGGTGCTCCGGGCCGGGAGCAGCGGGGGGCAGGCGGGCAGCCCCCCAGACGCGGTTTTGGGGGCTCACAGCGCGGTGTGCACGGACAGACGGACGCGCGGCGCTGGCGCAGACACGGCGGGCGCGGGGCCGCGCACACGCGCGCGTCCGCGGGGCTGGGGGCTGTTTGCGCCGGCAGGCGGGGGGCATGGCCCGGGGTCGAGGTCTCTGCACCTCGTCCCCATCCCTTGTCCCGTTCCTCATCCCCATCCCTGACGCCTGTCCCTCATCCCCATCCCTCTGTCCCCCCGCGGGACTGAGGACACCCTCGTGTCCCGCCGGGCATCTCCCACCGCCCCCCCAGGTGCGCCCGGCGGGGACGGAGGGTCCCTGTGGGGGTTCAGGATGGCTCCAGCCGGCCCTGCAGAGCCGGGATCCGGCCAGGAAAACTTGGTCTGTGCCGCTCACGGATGTTTTGCTGGTCCGAGAGCGACTGAGGTTGTTCTAACAAACCGCAGCCACACCGTCGCGACAGCGCACGGCCGGAGAGAGGGGCTGGGAGCGGGGATGAACCTTGTCACCGCTGTCGCCACTTCCCCATCGGCCACGGCGGGTCCTTCGAGCCGCGTGTCCCACCCGGCCGGGGCGGGCTGGGGGTCTCGGGGGGGCGAAGCTGCTGCACAGCAGAGCCCTCCCGGCAACGGGACTTGTGCCGAGGGGTCCTGGGGTGGCTGGCGGGGCTGTGGGTGCAGGTATGGAGGGGTTTGGGGGGGTTCAGTATAAACCTCGGCTCAAGGAGCAGCTGGGAGGTCTCATCGGGGACCTCCGCAGTCAAACACCAAAGTTAGTGGCGGAAGAGAAAACCAGGAGCTGCGTCTCCCAGGGAGCGGTAAAGGAGAGGGTTTAGTGCGAAATGCGCAAATAAACACAAAGCTTTGCTTCTTTCCACCTCTGCCTAATGATTTCCAGGGTTTTGGTGCCAGGGAGGGATGATGCTGCCCAGGAAAAATTACAGACCGTGGCCGTGTATTGTTCGAGTCTCAGTTACATCTTGTGAAGTACCTTCAGCACAGAAAACACTTGACTTCCAAAGCAAATCTGGAGTAATAGATTTTAGGAGTGAAAAAGGACCATTAGCTCAGCTAATGTGATTTTCTCCATAGCACAGAGCAGATAATGTCCCTCCCTTACTCTCCTATTGAGCCAATAACTCGCGTTTGTAATTCATGCAATTTCCTTTTAGTTCAATTTAATTTTGCTCAGAATCCCTTCTGTTGACACTGATACAGTACTTTTTCTCTCTTTTTGAAAGCCTGCGATTTCAGAGGCTTTGTGTTAAAAATAGCAGCTGTCCTTTGACAAACGTGGGCAGGCTAAAGACAGTTTTTCTAAATCATTTGCAAGTGACACATTTTCACCAGCATCTCCCTCCGTGCTTGTTATTTGTTTCCCTCCCGTGGCAGAGCAGCTGCCCTTGGCATCTGAGCTGTCACCTCACCAAATCCCTCCGGAGCAGACAAATAGGTAGGAGCAGAGACCCCAAATTTTTCGAAAATCCCTTTCCCTCTCCTGGTGCCATCGGGCAGCTCAGCTCCTCCTGCGGTGCTTTTTTTTTTACCCCGGCCAAGCCAGAGCGCCCAAACCGCCCCACCCCGCCGAAATCCCTCTTGCAGCAAAGTTTGTTCCAGGCGGGGTGTGACATGTCCTGGGGGGAATAGCTGGACTTTTTGTCTCCCTGCCGCGATGTCCATTTTCCGCGGGGGTGCCGGGGGAGCTGTGCCCTGGCACGTCGGGACGGGGGAGATGGAGCAGCTCGTAAACTTGTTATGTGCTGCAGGGGGTTTAATTTCGTTGATGGGCTGCAGAGGAAGGGTTTGTCTCTCGGTGCAGGGGAGCACAGTAAATCTACTCTTTCAGTGGGTTTATTTTTGTATTTGGTGCTTGGTGGGGTCTCCTGAACCAGTCTGGGGCTGAGACTCGCTGGGGCCGAGGAGTCGTTGGGAACCTGTGAGCAGGTCGGGGTGAAGGGGGGCTCTGGGAGCTGCCAGAGGTGTGTTTTGCACCCCCCAGGTGAGTGTTCTGGGGAGACATGGTGGGGGGGTCCATCCCTGCTGCTCTGCAGGTTGGTGAGTGCCACCAGCACTGGGGTGAGGGTCAGAGAAGTGTCCCTGAGCAGAGAGAGCACCCCTGGGCCCACAGGGGCTGCTGCTGCAGGAACTGGAAGTTTGCTGGTGAGCAGATGAGGTGGCAGAGCGAGTCCCTGTGGGATACAGTGGGATACTGGGCAAGCTGGGTCCCCACTGCTGTCCCAGCCCTCCATGTGCTCGGAGGATGCTCAGGAATCCTCAGGGATCCCCTCGGGCAAACAAACAAACAAACAACCCAAACAAACTTGGACGGGTGTTGCTGTGGTGCTGGTGTCACAGCAGCTCGGCTTTTTGGGGGTCTCTCACCGCTGACCCAGTGGATCTGGGGGGTTGTGGACCCTCGGGGTGGGCAGAGCCCGTGAGCCCACGGCCCGCGGCCTCTCTCCGCACGAGCGGGTGGGCCCCGCTTTGTCCGGCTCCGTGTTCCTGCTTGCTCCAGCTTTCTCCCATTGTAAACACCTCGGGAGTGTTTTGTGCCGGGCTGGCTTTGTGTGTGCACGTGGAATTGCAGAAATCCAAAAAGCTTTTCTCGCCCAGGGACCACCTTTCAGCGCCGCCGCGGGCGGTCCTGGGGACGCGCTGTCGCTGCCGGGGCCGCTCCGCTCGGCCTTTACACCCTGCGAGTTCCCAGCCGTGCCAGCAAAATGCACTCTGCCCATTTTCCTAAATAAATACGTTTATTGGAACAAAATAATCCCCTCACAGGCAGGGCAGTTGTTACCTAGAGCCCGTGATGCCGTGGAGGAGCCGGCTGCCCTCTTTTGTTCTCTCCCGCGGCCGCGGAGCAGGACCAGGGATGAGAGATTTTCATTTCACGGAATCACAGGGTCACTTAGGCTGGAAAAGGCCTTGGAGATCATCACTAACCAGCACTGCCAAGGCCACCACCCTCGGCTAGAAAAGAGTGAGGGGTCAAAGCAGCTTCTTTTTGTGAGTCTGAGGGCTGCTGGGTCTGGCAGCGGGGCTGACGGAGGACGTGGGGTTGATGGAGGAGCTGAGGGGGCTCAGAGGGAGCTGGGGGGATCAGGAGGAGCTGGGGGGATCAGGGCTGATGATGGAAGAGCTGAGTGGATAAGGGCTGAGGATGGAGGAGCTCGGGGATGATGGAAGAGCTGGGCTGGGGGCTGATGGAGGAGCTGGAGGGCTCAGGGTTAATGGAGGAGCTGGGCTGGGGGCTGATGGAAGAACTGGGGGGGCTCAGGAGGAGCTGAGGGGCTCCAGGCTGATGATGGAGGAGCTGGAGGGCCCAGGGCTGATGGAGGGGCTGGGGGGATCAGGGCTGGTGGAGGAGCTGAGCTCAGCAGGAGGGAGAGCCCAGAAAGAGCCCCGGGGTCGGGCGTTCCCCGGCTGGGGGTCCCCTGCAGCATCGCGGCCACCCCTGACCAGCCAGGGCTGGGCTCTCCTGGGCTCTGCTGCTTTATTTCTCACAAACTTTGTGGCGTTTTTGGTTTCATTGCACTGCAGGGAGGAAGATTTGGGCCACTGCGAAGTTTTGTATGATGCATCATTAATTTCCACCCCATTTTAACCCAGTAGAGAACACGCAGAAGGGAAATAAATTAGTGCAGCTTGTGACAGTCCTGCCAGAAAATGTGCCTGTGCCTTTACCCCATCCTGTGCCTTTTGGGGAGTAACTTCAGGAGTGGAATGTGCTCCCTTGGGTAGAGCAGCCGTGCCCTGGGAGCTCCCCATGGCTGGGTGCTGCTGGTGCTGGGCTGAGAAGTGCGTGGGCTCCTCTGGCACGAGGAAACTTGGCAGCGTCCAAGGCATCAACTTTTGGAAAATTTTCTGCTGCTTGGAAGCCCTCCTGCCTTCCCTCCCTCCCTCCCACTCCGTGTCCACCTGCTCCAGGACCACATGTCCCGAGCTGGAACCACTCCAGCCCTGAACAAGGGCTCTGCTGAAATGGCCTCAGCCCCTTCGCCCCCGAACACCCCACCAGCCCCCTGGACCCCAAATGTCTCTGCAGCTGCTTTGAGCTCAGATCTGTTGTTTTCCGAGGGAAAAGCCTCTCCTGTGAGCACTGCACTGGGGGGAAGCTCCTGTCCCTGCCTCCTGTCCCGCAGCCCTTCGGCTGCAAATCAGGAGATGGGTCTGAAATATTTGAAATTCTGACTCTCCATAATTTAATGCTCCATTAGCAGCCAGGACTGCTCCAGGCATGTGACTGTTATAAAAGATGCAGGCGGGTGGCCGGGCAGCCTCCTGCCACCTACCCCGGGTCCCTTATGAGAGAGGGACAAGATAATTTGGCTCATCATTAAAGTCACCTGAAGACCCCTGAGAGTTCCCACCAGCCCTGGCCAAAACCTGCTGGCCCCAGTTATTGTTATTTTACTCCTGCCTGGTGAAGGCACCTCGTGGCTGTTCGTCCCTGGGCAGAAAGAGAAAAAGGTATAAATTAAATATAGCGAAGAGAATCGAAAGAGCACGAGGCAGCAGCGAGC